TAACCAGGAAGTAAGTATTCATATGAGCATGCCATAAACTACTAATTTCTTGTAGACTGAAGTTGAGATGAACATGCATACATCTTAGCTTTTTGTCAACTGTCACATGTTATAAGTGTTAGTGTCTAGTCTTAGCTTCGAGATTTAATCCTATTCGCACATATTCGGATAAATGCAAGTTATTTATACCTGATTTGCTAATTCTACATATTCTCATCTATTTGCTATCCTATTGCTAGTTGGGCTGATGTTGTTGGGTTTTTTCTCTCAAACGAAGGGATATAGTTGCTCCTGTTTTTCCTTATTTAAAAAATTACCAGTCAATCTCTTAAGTATCTAAGTAAGTAAGTAAGTAAGTAAGTTAGTTAGTTAGTCAGTTAGTTTGTTAGTTATCTAACCATTTTGTAACAAGTATGTACTAGTTCTGGGACAGATTTTTTTATGCATATATTCTGTTAATCACTTGTGAGTGATAGTGTTGAAGTGTGCTTTATAGTGAATGAAAATATTGTCCGAACTGTGACAGAATTAAGAAATATCGAGTGTGAATCCATTAATTGTATTGTGCGTTATTAAAATCTCTTCACTCCTTTTATAATGAAGTATCTTTGTTCAGAGAAGAGATTTATTAGAAAATTCAAGAAATAAATCTTTCATGTACTCAGTGTTCTTTCATTAGGTAAACTGTGTCAACGTTTTGTTCGGGTTGAACCACGGAAAACCATTAAAACCACGAAGGAGTACTGAAGAACGGATTTGCTCTAGTTTAAGACTCATCGGCAGTACATGTCTATTGGGGCTTGAACTTAGGAGGTTCCAGTTACAAAAAAAGCTAGCAGGCCATTCACAAGTTACTCTAACTCAACTCAAATTCCAGCACATGAATTCAAACTTATACAAACCCTTGATTTCAACATGAACACTAATCAGTGTTATCTCTGAGAAGTATTTGTCCTCACTTCTGACAGATTGCATTCCCCTGGACGTAACTTCTCATTAGAATTCCATCCAACTTCGTTCTGCAGCCAGTCAATAACAAGCGTCGATGTTACTTTCAAGAGTTAGTTTCTAGAGATTTCATTTGTTTCAAGTTTGACCTGGGTTCGAACCACCCCCCGTGATGGGTATGTACTGCCAAGAAGTCTCCAACTAGAATGAAACAAGTGTCCAGTATTCCCTTCCTTTCCTTTCAGTGACTCGCGTCGGTGGTATAGCAGCTAGGACGCTCGCCGACTATGCACATGGTCCGGGGTTCGATCCCTGGCTGACGCCCTCCTATACCTCGCTGAGCCAGAAATAATTCTGATAAAGAGGAAAGCTTGGGAATGAGGCTAGCCACCCCATCCTGTTGCTACAGAAACTTCAAGCCACTAGCTTGAAGCCCTATGTTCCACTGGGGAACGTGAAGGAAAAATAAAATTAAAAAAAATATAAAATTCAGTGATTCACTAACTGGTATCGACCAGTGGGCAAAACTGACGCAAGACAAAATGGCATTTGGCGTTTGAAATGAAGAGTTCTGGGTTCGGATCTCAGTGGGGAGATAGCCTCTCACAAATGCATCCGGCTGACCTGTGCCAAATACGATCAAATACTTATCAATCTGGATTTCACTTCCAATCGCAGCACACTAAGTAACATTCTGTTAGCATTCCTTTTCTTAGAGCCACAAATGACAATAATCTATGAAAGTTTGTGATGTCGCTAAGGTTGTATCCGATTACTTTGTCTGTAGTTTATAGATTGGTAAAGAATGTTGAATGTAACTCTAACCGAATGTTTGAAGAACACAAATTTTGCCGTAGGTAACTTGACGAATCGATATCAACCAGAGAATCCTTAGAAAACCCAAAGTATTGGACAGCTATTCCATTCTTGTCTAGAACTGTTAGTTAGAACCCATTCATTACTACACTGAAGCCCTAGATTATATGACTGAAGTAACTACGAGTTCCACACTGACATGAAACACTTCTCAGTGACCTTTGGCTTTAAATGATTCTCTAACTGATGACGTTCTATGACGAAATTTACACTGGAGTGATTCAAAATTCCTACGAAGCCAAAACATCCTAGTATTAAACATTTACGTAGCAATGCATTACTGTACAGAGAAATATTGTTTTATTGACTAGCCACTGGTGTGGATCTTACGGTTTATTGACTTAGCTTACTCTCCTGTTTACATTTTTTAGTAAGGAAACATTCTTACTCTTGTTCCTCAATTTACCAGATACAATCAATGTCTTAGTTGTGGTTAGTTACCTAACCAGCTTGACATATGTGCACTAAATTTAGAACAGAGGGATGGATATTCTGCTGATTAATGGCCACTGATAATGTTGTTACTAAGAGATAGTATATAAATTCGGAAACACAGACCGCGAAAACAAGATTCACGGAGCTTAGGGTAACCTGTTTAGTGCGTCTGTGGCATAGCGGTTAGGACGCTCGCTGACCATACACATGGCTCGGGGTTCGATACTCGGCCACAGATGCACTCCTTCACCTCGCTAAACCAGAAATAATGCTGGTAAAGAGGAAAGGTTGGGCATGAGGCTGGCTAGCAACCCCATCCTGTAAAAATAAACACTGCTACAGAAACTTCAAGCCACTAGCTTGAAGCCCTATGTTCCACTGGGAGACGTGAAGGAAAGAAAAAAATGGCAACCTGTTTGACGGAGAACTTATGTAAAGACTCTCTCATGAACAGTCTAGGAATAACATTTTTATTCGTATTTCGATTTTTCAACAAACTCTGTGATAATTATCTGTTTCTCTGCTGGAATGTTTATCGTTAATTTGACATTTGAATATCACATGTTAATCTGATCCTTAGTAATTGTCTCTGTTCTTGTTCAGTCTACAGTTTCAATGCTTCTCTTTGTGGTTGTGAGCAAATGTTCATGGGAAGCATTGGCTTTTTATTACTGTATATAGAGTTTTAAATCCCACCTTGTCTGGAATATTCTACTTGATTATAAGTACTCGTTTTGTACATAGACTGAACTGTTTAGCTGCCTAGCTGCACTGTTGGGGCTGTTTTGAGTTTTTGATGTTATTATTGTTTTAAAAGAATCCCTAACTTTTTGAAGAGTACTCAAATTTCGCCTGAATTTGAAGCGTTTCCTGACTGTGAGCCTGTGTCTCAAGGATGTTTTGACCAGCTCTATACAGTAGGATACAGAGATCTCTTTACTGCGTTCAGAACACATTGAGTCGCTTTTGGCAGCTTGAGCTTTCTAGTTTTAACCTCACCTCCAATGTCTATATATTTTAACCAAGTTGGGTTAACAACGAAGGGTTTTTTCTTTTGAAGATTCGAGTTATCTCAAGCAATTTCTCAAGTAATCTAAAAGGCAAATGGCATCAAATAACTCAGTTTACCTTACAACGATAAGTGCCAAATGATTTCTACAGTAAAGCAAGTCATAAACAGCGGTCGTCAGGCTGATTTCAACAATGTATACATACATTTTTGAGTGGCATAAAATTACTTAAACAGGTTTTATGTGACCAAATACGATTCGTTCTGCTACTAAACATGCCTCAGCGACCCAGTTCAAAACAAAACTTCATCTACATAGTAACACGTTAGGTATTTTTGTATATTACCACTCATGGGCGTTTTTGATTCCCTAAATTAGCATTAAAATGTACACTGGCTCCACTTAGACTTTAAACACTCAAACCTTAGTGTGAAACTTTTGGATAAGTACCTGTTTATGATCAGTATGTTCAGAATATATTATGAAAATGCATTATACTTTGTGTCAAGGAGGCTGTTCATCCTCTTTCTCGAGATTGAGATGAAGTCTGTTCGGTTTTTATTTTATCCGTCAGGTGAAATTCAGTTCAGCGACAGCCACACGACCCATGATGGGCACTCCCTGTACTCCCCACTCACTGTGTGACATTCATATTGCCCATTCGAATTTTGATATCGTCAATTGGGGCGCTGTCCATTACCGTTTGCAGTTGTTCATAAAATTCTGCAGTTTTCTCTAGTGCTGAGTTTTTTATAGCCACATAGCAACGAGTAATTGTAACCTTCCCCTCTTTTAAGTTGAATCTTGCTGTCACTATTTTAAAGAATATTGGTTTCCACTTCAATGGAACTTTGGTTGCCACTAATGACAATATGGTTAGCACTCCCTAAATATTCTTGTGCTTGTCATCTGCGTGAACGTAGTACAATACTGACTCACCCGCTGACAATTTCGATAGTCCACATCTGTTCTACCTTCACTGTCGCAGACTCTTGCACTTTCATGACCCCTTTCCTTATTGATCTGCTAGTCTAGGCAGTCTTCTCAGTTTCGTACACTATAGGGAGATTCCACATCCCCATTCGTTTTTTCCATTTTCTTGAAACAACTCGCATAGTATGATTGGATTCCTGGAACATCTCACCGACCTGTGTCATTCCACCTCGCAGATTCCACCGAGTAATAAGTTTGCTTTTTCGTATTTTTAATATTTTTTTTTTTGTATTTTGAAGTTTATTTAGGTATTGGATTGATTTTCTCGGGTAGGGCTGCTATGCTCACCCACAACTCTAAGCCTCTTTTCTCGAGCTTGAGGTCATCTGAAAAACTAGCCAGCTGGCGAACTAGGCGGGTTAATCAAATAAATAAAAAAGATCCTCCTCTTTTGTGGATGGTGACTAGTAGTGAAATCAAAGACGCTACTGTGGAACACGTCATCTGAATGTACCTGGAATCCACAGTGGGCGATAGTATGTTTCCAGTGAGACTTGACCCCAGAACGCATCGCTTCCAAGGCAGAAGAGTCACTGATTATAGACACAATGGGCAATAGCATTCATCTCTTTTGCAACAGGTGTCAAAAATCTTATGTCATATCTCAGAATCAATAGAAAGCAGTCGTTCAGGATATGATCCTATTTATAATTAAATATGTTTTCTATTAGAAATTAGTACAAATATTCATTTCAAATACACAACTAACTATTCCTGTTTATTTATTTATTTAAATAGGGACAAGTTGCACAAAAGTATAAAACGATTTGCTTCTGTGTAAATATTCTGCGAAGAAAACTGTCATTCTGTTTTGAGAAGGGAAGGGAAATGTACACTTCACCTGCATACAAACGAGATAATTCACAAAGGATTGATAATCAACCGGAGGCAAGATAAATAAATAATGTGGAATTAAATTCCGAAAATAAAAAAAGAAATAGATGATACGATGTAAAATTGTAAACCTCCTTACGCTTTTCATTCTCACGGATTTGAACAGAAGTGCAATAACCCAAATTACATCTCAACCCTCCTCCAGTGTATTTACCTCATCCAAACTGAAAATATTCCCCACTCCACAGTCTTCCAATCCACTAACTGATATATCAATCCAAACTAAATTTTCAGACAAAAATCAAAATGATCAAAGCATCAAATTCAACAAAGAAATAACTTATACAATTGTTGAAGAATCGAATGTTCCACAATTGATTGGTGATTTAATAAATGACTTTAATTTAAACAAGTATCTCTTACGCCATGTTTTAAATGAACCGCGTCAGTCTCCAATGCATACTAGTAATAATCAAAACAATCAGTCTAAACAAATGCTTAGTATTGACTTGATAGCAAATCATTATCAATCAACACAGTATACAGATGCCGATCTCCCACGACTTCATTTATTCCCCTCGAATCAATGGAGTGCTGAATATTTCCATATAAATTATCATAATTTATTTAAACAAGAATTGATACAAATTAAAAGGCTAGATCGTGATCGTTTATGTCAGTTGAATGATTTCAATAAAACCACAGAACACCAAAAAAATCAGCAACAGCTAAAACACTACGATACATGTATGTGTTCAAGTGATATTTGTTCAACAATTTATAGTCAAAAATTGAAATCATCAGCGCTATCATTATTAACTCGTGTTGAAACATTGAACGGTAGAGGGAAAATTGAATCCGGTGAATTAGCATTATTACTACCTTATTGTCAATTTATAATGACTTTAGCTATAAATCTATTTCATACTGGTATGGAAATATTTACTATACGGATAAAATTATTAGATTTAAATGATAATTACCCAAGTTTTAAACCATTTACAAAATATGAAGTCCACTTTATGGAGGACGATCGAATTGGTGTAAGGCGTCGATTGCCTCTTGCTACTGATGTAGATATGTGCTTGCATTCAGAGATAACTTATCGATTAGAGGCAGGTGAAAGTTTCAAAGATGAAGGAGATTTAATCTCTGAAAATGTCGGCAGCCTACATAACAACAATCGACCTGTTAATTTAAGCAATTTATTTAGTTTAAAATTGACTGAAACATCGAATACGAAAGTTTTAGAGATCCAGCTGGAGCATACACTTGATCGTGAAAAAAGAGACAAATATGATCTTTATTTGTTAGCAATTGATGATAATAGTAATTTTCATAGACGTGAAGAGAACAGGCATACAACTACCCTTCCAATTATTGTATACATTCAAGATGTAAATGACTGTAAACCTGAGTTTCTTGTGATGAATGGATCACACTATACACCGGCTAAATTGTCTGAACCTGTATTCAATGAAGTCGCTGAAAATGTAGCAGTTGGATATATTATTACAAAATTTCAGGCTATTGATGAAGATTTTGGTGATAATGGAAGAATTAGTTATGAAATGGGACAGTATACACATTCAATTACAAAATCAGTAAGTTCAGAGTTGGTAGATGTGTAAAACTTAGACACTGTGGTAGTAAGTAATTCCATATTAGTTTGTTTATTAGATGTATCACATCTTGAGTTTTATAGTTCCCTTTGTCGTCTTCTCTTTGTCATTTTTGGGGTAGTAGAATTTTCCAGATATCCAGCTGGACAGGTGATGAATCATTCGTAATACATGTTCTTGCAGTTGATTCGATAAACAAAGCTTCTGTTATTAATCTCCGCCTCTACCTTGTGACATTAGATTTAAAAACTGTCATCTTATCCGATCCAGCCTCTTGTATAGTTGTGTGTGACTGCATTTAACGCTATGGCTGAACTATTCTCTAGACTATATGTATCCAAACCAAGTTCACTTTTAACGGTTTGTAAAAATTTGGGCATTGGGTATATGATATTCATTATAATAGAGGTTCCTTTTGTATTCCCCAATGAATGAAACAAAACAAAACGAGATTGTTTTTACTGACGTTTCGCTATTTAATGCTAATAGCTTTCTCAAAGTATTATTAAACCGGAATTTACAAAATCCACTCAGCTTATATATAACAAAGAATTAGGGGGTGAGAAAAATACAGACTTAGTTCAACTTAAAAGAACATATTGAAAGTCAAAATAACAATGAAGATCGTTCAAACCAAATATCAAAGGTATATCTGTTATAATAATAATAATAATAATAATAATAATAATAATAATAATTGCTTTATTCCAAAAACAGTACTCATGATACAGCAAAGAATTTTCAGCATTCAGTATAATATTGCAACTAATTTACTCAAAAACGACAAAAAAAATTAAAAATATACAATACATAATAGTAATAAAACGATTGTTATAGCAGCTATGTAGCAAAATACTGTATGCAATACGGAGAAAAATATGTATAAAGTACAAAATTGTAGTAATAATAGTAATACCAACTAAAAAAAAATAGCAGAGTAACGATTTACACGATAGAAAGTGTGACACCATAAAATACAGAAAGATGAACGATAAAAGGGTTGATTCACTGTGCTAATTACATAGTAACTTGTAAGTTTCATGTCTAACAGAGTCTTCGTCACATAAAGTACGGGCTAAATAGGGTATTGTAGAATTTTTACAATGACATCAAAACAAAGTTTATTAACTTGATCATCGTTCGTTAGTCTGGGGTCGTTTTTGGTTGTCAAGTTCGAAAATAGGTAAAGGTAACCAAACTAAGTGTAGATTGCGAAATACTTGATTATCGTTCGTCAATATGAGGTCATTTTGGTTGTCATGCTGGGGAGTAGGTAAAGGTAATTAAACTAAGTGTAGGCTGTGAAATACTTGATCATCAATCATCAGTCTGGGTCGTTTTTTGTTGTCAAGTTAGCGAACTGGTAAAGATAGTAAAACCAAGTGTAGATTGAATTGAATTTTTGATTTTCCCGTCGATTGATTGGACCGAAGTGCTCGGTCTCAGGTTGACATGTCGCTTCTTGTGCAGATGCTTCGATAATGTCTGGGGATTTGATTTGTATACAATTGGTGGATGGTGGCTAGCAGTGGAATCCAGGATGCGCATTTCGTCCTAATTGGGACTCGTCAGCCAACTGATGTACCTGCATTTCTCAGTGAGTGATGATGTTCCCGCCGAGGCTCGAACCCAGTGCCCGTAGTTTCAAACGCCAAAGCGTTATCCACTAGACCACTTGGGCCACGAGAGCCACCTCTTGTGCAACGGGTCAAATTAATTATTGAATTGAATTTTTGATTTTCCCGTCGATTGATTGGACCGAAGTGCTCGGTCTCAGGTTGACATGTCGGCTTCTTATGCAGATGCTTCGACGATGTCTTTACCGATTCGCCAACTTGACAACAAAAGACGACCCAGACTGACGAACGATAATAAAGTATTTCACAACCTACACTTGGTTTGATTACCTTCAACTATTCTCCAACTTGACAACCAAAAATGACCCCAGACTAACGAACGATGATCAAGTTAATAAACTTTGTTTTGATGTCATAACAGATATACCTTTGATATTTGGTTTGAACGATCTTCATTGTTATTTTGACTTTCAATATGTTCTTTTAAGTTGAACTAAGTCTGTATTTTTCTCACCCCCCTAATTCTTTGTTATATATAAGCTGAGTGGATTTTGTAAATTCCGGTTTAATAATACTTTGAGAAAGCTATTAGCATTAAATAGCGAAACGTCAGTAAAAACAATCTCGTTTTGTTTTTTTCATTCTTTGGGAAATACAAAAAAACCTCTATTATAATATTCTCTAGTCTTCTTATCTTATTTGGGTCAACCAATCTAGATTTAGCTAGGTTTTCATGTTCGGCTAGTCCGACTGCTCCTGTTAAACTAGTTTGATCCATGTATTTGATCTGACAACCATTGCAAGGTGTTAGATAGATTAGAGTTGATATTTTATAATTACTGGTATTTTGAAGAGTTGGTTTGTAAAGATTAAATTTGTTTTTACCAGTTTGATCATGGATTGATTACATCAGTTAGAGAACCATTGAAAACCAGGCAGTACTGGGCAGCTGTTTCGTCAGGGGTTAAAACCCAAGGCTTTCCGGTTTAAAGGCAAGCTTGTATATTATGCAGCCAATGGGATCCGATTCAATAGCCAGTCCATGAGATCTAACTTCCACCAATTCGTGATTTAGCGCGACCACCAACCAATGTCATCAGAGGGAAATCCCTCCGCACACGTGACATCTAATTGGATCTTACTGGTCACGACTTCTCACTAGAACTCAGGAAAATCCAACCTGTAGCAAGTCACTAGCGAGCAGCAGACTAATTTTATATAGATTGGGTTTGTAAGAGTTTCCCAGCCGATAACTGCTACTTTGTCGTGGTGGTCGCGCTTGAATACCGTAATGACCTAACATGCTTAACTGACTGGGACCTGTCCCTGCAGGTCCTACCATGTCAGGAAGGTTGTTTGGATAGCGGTTAAACCAAAAGCAGTTACTATGGGCTACATGGGCTCCATTATCCAATCGGATCAAATGGCGTATGAACCCATATGGGTGACCGGCGACCACGTGAATGCAGCTCCTGACGCTGCTCCGCTGCCTTTCGGACTAGACTCCAAGTCAAAGGCTCGGAAGGTGGTCCCGTAATAAAACCACCTGCTTCGGTCTTGTGGCCCGGGCAGTATCTCAGCCCTCACACAATGAATTGAATAAAGTAACAAACAATCAATGAAACTTATCGCGTGCTATTACACGTGTTGCAATTTCCTTCTTTCTTCCCTTCCCGATGATAGTTAACGAATACTGTTTGAACTTGTTAAGCATGACTGTTTTCCTTCCAGATGAAGTTCTTTATCCGTTCTCTACTTATATATATTTTTCTCGTCTTTCTTTTGATCTATGTTGTTTTATTATTCTTAATGTGTGGCGCATCCTTCTTGGTGCCATATTGTATCAAGTTTTTATACGTTTAAATAAATGAAATAACAGTTTGGGTTTGTAAGAGTTAATTATGTGTTAACGAGTTGATCACGGATTGATGTCAGTTAGAGAACCATAGAAAACCACGGAGTACTGAACAGCCGTTTCATCGTAGTTTCAGAATCATCGGCAGTACGCACCCAACACCAAGACTCTAACCCAGGGCCTTTCGGTTACAGAGCAAGCTCGTATATGATTCAGCCACTGGAACCCGATTTAGTGGCCAACCTATGAATTCTGACTTCCACCGATTAGTGGTTTAGCGCAAGCACCAACCAACGTCATGCGAGAGAAATCCATCTTCACACTTGACTGGCTGGAACTCACTGGTGACGACTTCTTATTAGAACCCCAGGAAACTCCCTCCTGTAGCCAGTAGTCACTTGTGAGCATCAGATTAATTTTCAATAGTTGGTTTCTTAATTTGACTATTAAAAATACTTCTGAGAATATTTATGTGACTATCGGCGGAGTCCGGGATAAGAATCATGATGAAATGCTGAAGGGCTAACTAATTTATTATCCTTGTCTGACAAAGCTAATATACACACATACAAAAATAATTATATATATATATATATATATATATATATATATATATAATTGCAATTAGCTTGACTAATGTAGTATCTAAAGTCCTAGGCTCAATAATCAATCAATCAATAATCAAACACGAGAGGGCCAGCCAGGCTTTAAACCAGGAAGAGGGTATATTGATCATATCTTCTCCCTCCGACAGATTCTAGAACATAGCCATTCCTACCGGCGCCCAACAATCACTATATTCCTTGACCAAAAGGCGGCATTCATTTCTGTCGACCGGGAGGTTCTCTGATCATGCTTGGCTGTAAAAGGAATGCCGAGAAAATACACTGCACTGCCAGGTGAGGGCTTACGGCGAGTTGTCATCTGAACTGATGACGAATAGTGGTGTCCATCAAGGATGCCCATTATCCCCTTTTCTATTCAACTTCATCATAGATGTACTAATTGACTGAACCCTAACTCACTTCAGCGCCTCAGTGATTGACTTGCTACCAGGGAATAATCTCGTTGACTTAGAACATGCAGACGATATAGTCCTTCAAGGTGAGGACGCTGACAAAATGTAGAGTCTTCTAAACACCTTGAGCAGCAATCTAAGAATGTTTGGCATGCGATTCGCTCCCACCAAATGCATGATGATGTTACAAGACTGGACTACATCGACGTCTAGTTTGAAAATAGGAAGTGAAGTGGTAGAGCACGTTGACCGCTTCACTTATTTGGGAAGTACCATCAGCCAGTGCCAACTGGTTGATCTCTGACGAAATCTCAGCACGAATATAGGGGGCTCGTTTCGCATTTGCCAGTTTACGCTGTCTCTGAAGTAGACGTGATATCCGACTGTCGACCAAAGGGCGGGTGCACTGCTCATCAGTCCGCTCCGTTCGCCTTTATGGCTAGCTGTGGGACCTGGCCACTGAGAATGGAAGATATGAAAACATTAGCTGTCTTTGATCATAGGTGCCTGCGTTCTATCTCCCTCCATTGTG